TTCAAGTTGGGGTTAAAATCAACTTAAAAAACTTTTATTATGGAAAATTTCACACTCATCAAAAACAAAGGGAGGACCCCCCCATACCCTCTGTCTCCCCCCGCCCAGGGGCCCTCTGTGGTAGTAAGTCCAGTTGTCCCTGGGTGTCCCCAGGGGATTGGCTCTGGGGTCCTAAGGGCACCAAACCCCCTGGCAGCTGGTCCCTTACCTTGTATAAGAGGGCACAGAGTTTGCGGGGAAGCCGCGCACACTCCCCTGTGTGTTTTAGGGCCTCTCTACGCATTCAACAACACAGACTGAGCTGTGGGTGCACGTCAATAGTCACACTGCCTCGTTTAGGGAATAATGACAAGAAGAAGTGTCTGGGCTTATTTACTACAGACACAACTTTTTGTTTTCCTCCCCTGAATATTTTTGATTCCTGGTTGGGTGACACCACAGACGGGGGACCTGTGGGGAGGGAGGGAGGGGGGGGCTGCATTTGAAAGCATCGTATCATTTTATTCATGGCCCCTTCAGCCGGTTGCTTTAAAGATTTGGACTCCTTGGAAAAAAGCCTCCCAGGGCTGAGGGTGCAGCTCAGCTCAGGTGGCAGAGAGAGCCCCCAGCACGCATGCGCCAGGCCTGGGTCGCCTGGAGAGCAAATAAAAACCCGGACACACGGGGCCATCATTTCATCTAAAATGTGGAAATACAAAGAAGGCTTCCTAACATCGTCCCTGCCCAGCGTCCGCATTTCAGTGGTATCTACAGTTATGGGATATTAGAGAGGCCACGATTTGGGTGGGGTGGGCACCAGGGATGGAACCCAGGGCGCTTGACCACTGAGCCCCACCCCCAGCCCTTTTTAATATTGTATTTAGAGACGGGGTCACGCTGAGTTGCTTAAGGGCCTCGCTTTTGCTGAGGCTGAGTTTGAACTCGCGATCCTCCTGCCTCAGCCTCCTGAGCCTCTTAAGCGGACCCGTGTGTGCGGCCGACGGGACGCGCCGGCCTCTCTGCACGTCTGTCTCCCGGGGCCCGGGGATGGCACCCAGGGCCCAGCCTGGGCTGGAGGGCGCGCGCCCACTGAGCGACATCCCTGGCCCCAAAGAGGCGCGTCCCCTGCCCCCACCTCCATCCCCACCATCCGCTGCAGACGACCCTGGGCCGCGGGGCAGTTGGGGTGGGCCGGTGAGGGGGCGTCCACACTTCTGCTCGCCAGTCTACACCGCTGACTCTGCTCCCCGCGGGTTGCACAAGCCCTTTTGCACACAAAGGCGTTGAATTCGGAAGAGAAGGGTTTTCCCCATGAATCATAATGGCCCTGGGTCACAGCCCAGCCCGTTTCCTTCCCCACGGCCACTTCCTCATTTGCACACGCGGAGCCGCGCGCTGAGAACCCGGGGAGCCCTGAGAACCGGGGAGCCCTGAGAACCGGGCGGGGCTGCCGGACTCCGGGAAGGAGCCGCGGTGGGGGCACAGCGACCCCTGGCGGGCGACCGAGGGTGGACAGAGCTGGCGCTCGGGGGACGGGGCTCTGATCCGGCTGTCCCCTCCTGCTGGAGGTTTGGGTTCTGTTCCCAGCTCGGCCATTGAGACCTCGCTGTTCTGCACCCTGGCTTCCTCATCTGTAAAATGGGGATGATCGGGTATTTCACTCACAAAACCGACGCGAAGATAAAACAAGGCAATAAGCCGAAAGCATTCGGCACAGGCAGGGCGTATAATAAGTGCTCGATACGCGATTGTCCTACTTAGTCTTATTACACTGAGCTCCAGGCCACCTCTTCCGCAGGACTGAGCTCCCTGAGAGGGGGAGCTGCTTGCTCGTGTCCCCCGTGCCCAGTCAAGTTCATGCATCAGACTTTGGGGGCACAGTGACTGCTCCATGCACCTCTCTCAGGGAAGGAAAGGAGGTCACCAGCTCGGGGGCAGGTTGTGTAGAGTGGGCACCCTGCACTCCGTGGGTTCTGAGCCCTGGTGCCGGGGTCTCTGCGGTGGAGAGCGCCCTGGCCCTGCCCTCCCAGGGCTCAGGTCGGGTGCTCAGGCTGACCCGCCCCCAGGGATGAGCAGAAGAGGCAGGTGGATGGGTGGATGGACACAGGGGACCGACCCAGCCCGGGAGTCAGGGCTGCCTGGAGGAGGAGGAGGCGTGGACTGACACCTGGGCTGCGAGGGGCAGAGGGAGGGAAGCTGTGTCCTGGGAGCAGGCTCCGGGCAGCGGGAAGAGCCTGGAGGGTCTGCGCTGAGATGGGGCAGAGAGTTCTGGGACCAGAAAGAGGTCCCTTCCTCCAGCCCATGACCACAGAGTGGGGGCGAGGGGCAAGGAGGGCTGACCAAGAGGTGGACAGGCCCCTAGAACGCAGACCTCGAGGGCGCTGCAGGCTGTGACCCTGGACCGTGGGGGAATAGGAGCTGTGAATAGTTCTATGCAGGGACGGGCAGGTCCAACTGGGTTTTACAAAGACCCCTGGGATGCCTTGTGGTGGGAAGAGACCGGGAGGAGACTGGGCAGACAGGGGAGAGAAGCTGCCTGGCTCAGGGCTGGGCTGTAGGAACTGGGAAGGCCAAGTTCAGGAGCCGTGGGCGTGCCTGCCACAGCCCAAGCAAGTGAGTGAGGCGCCCATACTTTGGGCCCCGTACCTGGGTGGGCCCTCTGGGTACCCAGGAGGGCGGGGGAGGCGCCAGGCACCTTGCGGCCTGTAGATCTGGGCGGTCCTCTGCTGCCCCCTGCTGGCGCAGCCTGGCTCCTGTCATGCCTCTGTGTGGCAATGAGGAACCACTCAGTGAGCGCAAACCCCAACCAGGGACAAAGGTGATACTTCTTGAGTGACATCGTGCCAGGCTGCAAGGCTCCTGGTCTCCACTCCCACACCCAACCTGGGTCCCCAGCTGCTCTCGCCTTCCAGCAGGCCGAACTGGGCTCGAGACTGGCCTCTCAAGTCCCATCTCCTCTGTCGCTCCCTCCACCTCTCCTTTTTAAAAAAAGGCTTTAGTGTGTGTGTGTACGATTTTTTTTTTTTTTGAATTGGGGATTGAACCCAGGGGTGCTCTACTATTGAGCTATAATCCCCAGCCCCTTTAATTTTATTTTGAGACAGGGTCTCTTTGCGTTGCCAAGGCTGGCCTCAAATTTGTGATCCTCCTGGCCCAGCCTCCTGAGTCGCTGGGATTACAGGCGTGGGCCACTGTCCCTGGCTATTACATTTAAATCTGCTTTTGTTGTGATGAGGGAAGGGATCCCACCTGCCTGGACAGTGGTGGCAGGAGCCTGTTTTACCTGCTGGGGTGGCTGTAACAAGGAACTGGAGACCTGGTGGCTTAAACTTTCTTTGCAGATGTGGAGCTGGAAGTCCAAGGTCGAGGCTCAGCAGGTGTGGCTCCCCCAGGCCCCTCTCCCTGCTCGCATAGGGCCACTCCCTCCTGGTGTCCTCAGCTGGCCCAGGCCCCGTGGGCACCCTGTGGGCACCCATGCCTGGACATTCTCCTTTGTCCTATAAGGACCCTAAAGCTACTGAACCAGGACCCACACTAGGTCCTGTAACCTTCATGACCCCTGTAGAGGCTCTCCAAATACGTGGGCCTTCAGCTTAGGGATCTGGGGGTCACAATTCAGTCCAGGCAGAGCCGGTATCAGGGGCTGACAGAAACACTGCCTGGATCAGAGAATCTACCCTAGAAGATGCTGCGTCTTGGGGTGGGATCGTGGATCACGCTTCAGAAGGAGCTGGGCATCAGGGCAGCTGAACCCTCTGACCTTGCCCCCTGCTCTGTCCACGGCCCTCAGCTCTAACTGCCTTCCCCTGGGGCTTTGTCTCAGCCACTGACCCACCAGGGCTCCCTCCCCGACGTCTTCTGGAGCCTGAGGCACAGGTGAAGGGGGCTGGCGGACTCTAGGGCAGGAGCCCTGCTGGGCTGTGGCTTCTGCTCACGCCCCATTGGCCTGAAGTTGGTCACGTGACCAAGCCTAGCTGCAAGGGCACCTGGGAAATGTGGTTTTTCTGGCCAGCACCATGTGCCTGGGGAGGACCTGGGGAAACGGAGGGGCGGGTGGGGAGCTTGGTGAGCAGCTGCTGCCCAGGGGGGGCCGCAGGGCCCCGTCCAGGTCCCAGGGAGCAGCGGCCACGCCCCAGCCCTCAGCCTGGCCTCTGGCCGACCTGCTGGCCCATGGGAAGAGGTCAGAGCCCAGGCCTGGTGTCCACATTCCCTCTGGGAATTCTTCCTGGTCCTCTAGAGTGCTCCCCCCTCCCGCCCCCCTGCTGTGACTCAAGGCCACACATTTGGTGGCTTAAAGTAACCCCCAATTTTTTATCTTACAGTTCTGGAGATCGGACCCCAAAATGGGTCTCACTGGGTACTGTTCAGCTGTCAGTGTCCTTTCCCGAGGCTCTGGGAGAGAACCCGTCCTCTTGACTTTTTCAGCTTCTAGAAGCTTCTGACACTCTCTGACTCACAGTCCCTTCATCTTGAGAGCTCTCATTGGCCCGCGGGGTCTCTCTCATCAGTCACTGTGACCCCAGACCCTGCCTGGGTAGTGGCCCTCCCTCAGTGTCCAAGTGCCTCTGGCCACTCTCCCCCAGTCTTTGCTTCTGTGGTCACACATTGCCTGGGGTACTCAGGACCTTACCCCAGCTCTGCGGCCTGCAGAGTCTTTGCCATACAAGGAAACTCACGGGATGAGGACGTAGGGGGCTTTGGGGACCATTATTTAGCTTATATAGTCTCCCTGGTCACCCCCAGGGCAAAAGCCAGCCCCAGCCTCTCACATGGCCCTGGGTGATCTGCCTGCCTCCCCGTCTCCCTCTCTGCCTCTACCACACTGGCCTGGCCTCCCTGCTGCTGTTGAGCCTTTGTGGGTGCCTGGAATGCTCTCCCTCTAGAACCCGACGTGGCTCCCTCCCTTCCCTCCTTCATATTTTTGCTTGTTGCCTTCTCAGTGGGGCCTTCCCTGCCTTCCCTACTAAAAAATCTCAGCCCCCCAATACTCCTGACCCCCTCCCCTCTCTGCTTCCCTGTCACTCGTCACCATGAGACACATGGCACTTAGTTATTTATTGTGTTTCTCTCTCCCCTGCCCCGTGGCCTCCAGCCGGCAGGAGTTTCTGTCTGTTCAGTTTCCTGTGGGGCCGAGGCTGCCGACTGAGCCAGGGCTCATTTACTGCTGAGTAAGTCAAGGGGCCACAGGCTGAGGCCACTCTGCACCTGCGGTGGGTGGGGCAGAACAGGAAGCTGCTGCCCGAGGGACTGGGTGAGACTCGGTGAGGGACTGGGTGAGACTGTGCGGCGATGCCAGGAGCTGGCTGCAGGCTTGGGGAGGCAGAATTTTGAGGGGGCTCCAGCTGCCTGAGCAGGGCGGGGCTCCAGCACCGAGTTAACCCGCCGGGACTGTCACTTGGGCCAGGTGTCCCCCTGGGGGGACCTGTGGGTGGGAGCTGCCTGGTGCGGGGGAGGGGCTCCAGGGGTCGCTGGAGGCCGCGGTCAGTTGGGGGCCCTCTGGTGGTGCCCATGAGGCCACCTGACCACCCCACCCTGTGAGGGCCTGGCACCCAGGCTGGTGGCCGGGCCGGTGGTTGGCGGAGCAGGTTGATGGCAGGTGGGGACCTGCCTGGTCCTCCCAGGGGCCTGGGGTGGGTGCTGGGTCTGGGGCCGACTCCTCCTGTCCAGTTCTGGGGGCCCATCCTGCCAGGCCTCGTCGCCTGTGCAAGGACCCCAGAGGGCGGCCGAGTCCTTGTCCCCTCCACTCGCTCAGGACTTGGGCACGAGCTGGCAGTAAGGGGAGGAGTCGGGGTGCAGCAGGTCCTGGGGGGACAGGGAAGACTCGAGGGTGAGGGGAGCTGTGAAGGAGGTGGGAGGGACAGAGGTGGGAGGAACCGAGGTGGCACACTGTCACTCAGAGGGAGTGACACAGGGACACACAGGAGGGGACATGAGGGACTGAGACTCAGGCCCAGGAATGGTCTCAACTGGCGTCCTGACCTGCTGTGTGACTCCAGGCAATCCCTTATCCCTCTCTGGGCCTTGTTCTGCCCATGAAAGTCCCAGGACATGGACCCGTTCTACAGAGGAGGGGACTCCAGGCCCAGGAGGGGAGCGGGCTCGCCCCGGGCGTCGTGGGGAGCTGGGGAGTGGGCAGAGGGAGGACCGTCCCCGACCTAGTTGCCTGGGTCCCCACATACCTGGTACTGGTGGGCCTCTGGCTCGGGCCTCAAGGGTAGAGGCAGGGACGGGGGCTGCGAGGAAAGAGCACCGGTGAGCTTGGTCCCCTCGGCGCCCCAGGACCTTTGACCTTTGGGGTTCCCGCAGGCCCAGATCCCAAGTCCCCTGGAAGCCCCTGGGGGCTGTGTTCGTGGGTCAGCCACAAGGCTCCTGCCCTTGAGCCACAGCCTTCACTTTTAAAGTTTCTCTTTTCATTAAGTTTTGTAATTTGTGGCCCCAGTGGAAGGGGAGACTGTCCCCGCCTGGGAAGTCCAGGAGGGTACAAGAAGCCAGGCCACCCGCCCGGGCGGGGACTAGGAGGGCCCACTGGGCCGTTTCCAGAATAAAACGCGTGGACCTTTGAATGTCACGTGACCTGAGTGTAAGGAGGGCCAGAGCGGGAGAGTTGGTGGCAGGTGACACCCCGTGGGCAAGCTCACAGCCCCTCGGAGGGAGGAGGAGGAAAGGAAGCCCCCGCCCGACTGGCAGAGCTGAACTGTGTGTGTGCCAAAGGACACTGGATCCAAGGGACTTTTCTGCGACAAGAGACAAAGGGAGGTGGGGACAACTAAAGGGACACTTCTTTAAACAACCCAACAGGAAACGGAGACCAAGGCAATGTTGTGGACGACTGTGCACCCAGAGCACTGAGCCCGCAGCACTCAGCCAGAGCACTCAGCCAGAGCACTCAGCCCAGAGCACTGAGCCCGCAGCACTCAGCACAGAGCACTGAGCCCGGAGCACTCAGCCCATGAGGAACTGGAGGGATCTTGCCCTCCAGGGGATAAAACGCTGGTCGTGCCCAGCGGTGTGTCCCTGACCACCAACTACCCGGTCTTGCCAGACCATCCTTAAAGTAAAGCCTGGATCTTTGCAGACCTGTGTCCCTTGGTGTCTTCTTTGCGCCTGGCCAGGTGAGCGGGTTTCTCACGTGTGCCAGGGGCAAGGGCGACTTCCTCTCAGGGTCTTTTCTTTATGATTTTTAAAATAAGGAGGTGGGGAGGCTAAACTGGGTGTCAAGGCGCCCCAGGCACCGTGGCCAACTCGGAGGAGAGGCGCCCTGTTAGAAGCCGGTTTTAGGGCCCAGGCGCTGTGGTGACGCCTGTCATCCCAGCAGCTTGGGAGGCTGAGGCAGGAGGATGGCGAGTTGGAGGCTAGCCTCAGCAACTAAGTGAGGCCCTAAGTCACTTAGACCCTGTCTCAAAATTTAAAAAGTAAATAAAAAATAAAGAGGGGGCTGGGGGTGTGGCTCACTGGTCAAGTGCCTCTGGGTTCTGTCCCCAAAAACTAACAAAAAACCGGGCACGGGCTTTAGGGGGCCATGAGGATGGGACTCACCAAGGCTGCGCTCGTGGGCCCCGTGTTACTGAGTGGGGTCGCCAGGAGGACTGGAGAGGGCATCACTTCGTACACATTGTTGTCACCTGAAGCAGAGGATGGAGGGGGGACCAGCTGGTGATGGCGCCCCAGCAGCTCAGCCCGTCCCTCCGTTGACTCATTCATTCGCTAACATTGGTGCACCCCCAAGGGCACTGGGGAGCCATGGAGGGCTTCAGAGCAGAGGAGCTGGATCCAGGAATCCCGGGAGGGACCCTGAGTTCCCCATGAGGATCCCCCGCATGATGGCAGGAGGGACAGCCACCGAGAAGGAGGAGAAGCAGCTTGGGGGGGGGGCCTGGGATTCTCTGGGCTGAGTCCAGGCCTCCAGGGAGGCCCCTGATGGGGGGACGGCGGAGGGAGGTGGCAGCTTACCAGTGTCCGCGTGGGGGCCCAGCTCCGGCTTCCCTGAGGCCGTCGCCCTGGGGTGCAGGGAGGGAGCCCCGTTAGGTGGTGGGTGGAGAGAAGCCAGGAGCCGCCCGGTCCTCCCTCCCTCCTGCCCTCGGGGGAGCAGGGACGCACCTGGGGCCCCTGCAGCCTCGGGTCACCAGGAGGAAGGCCAGGCTGCCGGCCAGCAGGAGCCCGGTGGAGAGACAGCCGATGATGGTGGCAGCCAGGAGCCCGGCGTCCAAGGGCGGGGACGTGGCCGGCAGCTTCTGAGGCTTCTCTGGGGGACGAAAGAGGACAGTGATGTCCCGGGGCTCTGCCAGCCCTGAGGGCACAGAGTCCCCGCTCTCGCCCCTCGAGGTCTCCGCTTCCAGGGACCTGCTGTCCCCTAGATGGACCTCCGAGGTGTCCCCACGCTGCTGCCTGCTCTGTGTCCCTCACTCCCCAGCTTCAGAGACCCGAGGTGCTGGCTGCGCTCTGCGGGAGATGTGGGGACTCGCAGCATTCTTGAACCTGCCCTCCTGGCTTGGACCCCGAGTCTACCTGACCCCCAGCCTGGGGACCTCCCAGGCTTTATTCTCAAGCTGTTGTCCCCAGCCCTCTGGCAGCTAAGCAGGTAGACTCTGAGGTCAGAATGCAGGGGTTCAATCCTGCTGGCTGTGTGACCTAGGGCAAATTACTCAACCTTTCTGTGCCTCGGTTTCTCCTTCTGGGGAGCAGGAGTAAGACTTCGACCTCCACTGTCCAACCAGGTGGGTTCTGTGTCGTTCCACAGACGAGGAAACCGAGGCACAGAGGTGGAACGACTCGCCTGAGGGTTCATGGTGCTCGGGTCCTACCCAGGCCCCCTGGACACTTGACGATCCCTCTGCAGCTCCAAGAGAGGGGCCCCGGGAGCCCCTGAAGTGGGTGTGAGTGACCTCAGGCTCAGTGGGAGGGGTCACCGTGTAGACTGTGTCCTTTGTGTGTATTTGTGTGATCAAATTAATTCGCAGTTTGTGTCTCTCATTCATTTCTCTCAACCTCTTCTATTCAAAGTGTCTGAAACCTGTTTGAAAATGTAACAGGGGACAGGGGGCCACCCACACCCAGGTTTGGGCTGTGTCCAGGCCTATCTGGCCATTGTCCCCAGCAAGGCGGCTCAGTTAAGCCCATTCTGCAGGCCCAGAGGCTGCCTTTGGCCCGGGCCGAGAGCTTTCTACTCTGGCGAATCCTGCAGGTGGCAAGATCAGATTAAGTGGCTTCTGCGGGTGACTCAGGCAGGTGGGGCCAGGCAGGAAGTCTCCAGCAGCCGCCCATCTCAGCATCAAGGTCCCCGCACCCCACGGCCCAGGCTTCCCGCGGCACCAGGGCTCTCCCTCCCGCCAGCCTCCGGGTTCGGCTTGCTCTGGCCCTTGTCAACCTCGCGGAGGACACCAGGCCCTGCCCAGGGCCTGCCACAGCAAGTGCACCGGCTGCTCTGACGTCACTGTCACAGGCTGAATGTCCCTAATCTGAAAATCTACACCCCGATGCTCCAAAACTGCAGCTCCTGGAGTTGACATAACCCGAGTGGAGAATTCCACCCAGAAAAATTGCATAAAGCCGGGCGCTGGGGGTGGGGGGGCGGGGGGGCGCACACCTGCAATCCCAGCCGCTTGGGAGGCCGAGGCAGGAGGATCAGGAGTTCAAAGCCAGCCTCAGCAAAAGCCGAGGCCCTAAGCAGTTCAGTGAGACCCTGTCTCTAAATAAAACACAAAATAGGGCTGGGGAGGTGGCTCTGTGGCCGAGTGCCCCTGAGTTCAATCCCTGGTACCAAAAAAAAAATGTGCAGAAAACCCCTCCCAGGCCGTGTACATCAGGTGCCTGTGAAACATAAAAGAGTTTCCTGTTCAGACCTGAGTCCCACCCGCAAGACACCTAATTGTGTTTATGTCGGAATTCCAAAATCCAAACGTATCCCAAATGCAAACACTTCTGGTGAGATAAGGGACACCCAACCTGAATTGTCATTGTTATTTTCCTTTGCCTTGATTTTCTCCAACAATGACTAAGTCATTTAATTAATTAGGACATAAAGCCCATAAGTGAGGACGTCTGGAAGACGCTGCCTCTGGTAAGCTGAGGGCTTCTCTGAACCTCAGTTTCCTCTTCTGTAAAACAAAAGAAAAGCACGCATCCTTACAGGGCTGCTGGGTGACCACAGGCTGTTGGGGAGGGAGCTCTTCTGGGAGCTCATGCCCCAGGGGAACGGGGTGCAGCTGAAGCCATCGTCCCCTTCGGCCACCAGGAGTTTTCTCGCGGCTCTGCTGCCTTTGAGACTCTGCCGAGTCTCCATGGATGGCGGCGGCCTCCCTGGCCGTACAGGCTTTTGCCCCTTGGTGGGCCTTTGTTTAGTTCCACAGCTGAAGGGCAGCAGCTGCCCCTTCTCCAGCTGGGAGGCCCCGTGAGTCTCTCCAGCCCCGGCCTTGGATTTCCTGTATGTGAAATGGGCTCAACACATCACAACCCGAGGAGGCGGAGGGCAAGTGTTCAGGAAGCGCCCTGACAGGACGCAGGCTGATGGACAGCCCTGGGTCAGGCCCAGAGTTTGGAGAAACCTGCGCAGAGTTGAAGGCACGAAGGTGCCACCAGGTTTGGGGACGACAGGCACAAGCCGTACGTGCTTCTGAGCCCCGTTTCTGCCACTTACTGGCCGGGGACTTTGGGCTTCCCTCTGTCTGCCTCGGTTTCCTCAACTATAAACTGGGGGCAGCCACAGTAGCCCCCCACGGCGGCTGCCCTAGGCCACGGTGTCCTGCGGCAGACTTGCTCTGCCACCCTCCTTTACAGTCAGGAACTGTTATGTGACACGGGCTTTCCCAGCCAGATGGACCCAGAAGGGACCCGCCCTGCGAAGCTGGTTCCCAGGATGCCAGCTAAGCTCACAGGCCCTATGATGTCCTGCCACAGGCCCTTTGCACAGGCCGAGCCTTCTGTCCAAACACCTCCCCCAGCTTCTTAGAACTTCCGTGAAGCCTGTTGAAGGGTCGCCTTTCGAGGGCAACTTCCCGATGCCACGTGGGTCCCCTGTTTACGCCCTCGTAACTCCTGTACGATTTTTCAGTGCTGCCACTGTTCCTAATGTTGTATTTTTATGAGCTGAGACCCAGGTACCATCTGTATTCCCTTTTGGGCAGAAGCCCTGGGAGGGCAGGGCCAGGGCTGCCTGTCACTACTGTGTCCTCGGCACTGCCCAGCCCAGGCGGGCACAGAGGGGGCCCTTGGGGAGCGTTTGCTGAAGGATGGGTACGTGAGCAACTGAGCCACTCAGTGCGCCTGGGAACCCCAGGCCTGCCTCGGACTCTGATGTCCTGAAGTCACCGGTGTCTCGATTCCCCCCTGAGCAGAGCAGAAATCCAGCCCCCGCTGCACTCGAGGGTCAGTCAGGTCACACCGCGAATCAGATCACATCCCTGTTTAAAACCCGCTAGTGGCTTCTCAGCAAATGCCCCCCATGGCCTGCGAGCCTGGCCGTGTGCCCCCGCCTGGCCTCCAAAGCCGCCTTGCTCACCCCTTGGAGCCTCTGCGTCCGCTGTCTGCGCTCTGACTATACACCAAGCCGGCCCAGCCCCAGGGCCTTGGCACCTGCCGCTCCCTCTGCCAGGGCCTCTGTGCGGGTTCCCTCCTGTCCTGGCTCATTAAAGCTGCTGGAACCGCGCAGCGTACACCAGGTGCCTTGGAAACCGTGGAGTGTGGTTCTCACGGTTCTGGAGGCTGGGAGTCCACGGTCATGGGCCAGCATGGTTGGGCTCCGTCAAGGGACGCTGTCTTCCTGCTGGGTCCTCACGTGACAGGGGCTGAGCCGCTCTCCTGGGTCTCTTCTAGAAAGGGCCCTGACCTCGTCTGCAGAGGCTCTGTCTTCTGGCTTCATCACCTCCCAGTGACCCGCCTTTTGGTCTGGGGACACAGCTCAGTGGTACAGTCAGTACTTGCCGACGGGTACAAGGTCCTAGGTCCCTCCCCACCGTCACCAAACAGCAGGGATAAATGCCAAAGGCACCACCTTTTTTTTTGTCCTGGGGATTGAACCCAGGGGCACTCGGCCACGGAGCCCCACCCCAGCCCTGTTTTGTACTTTATTTAGAGACAGGGTCTCACTGAGCTGCTGAGTCTGGCTTTGAACTCGCGATCCTCCTGCCTCAGCCTCCCGAGCCACTGGGATGACAGGCGTGGGCCACCACACCCCACTAGGTCCCCCCTTCCAATACCGTCACCTGGGGTTACGGTCCCAATGTATGAATTTGGGGGACATGACCTCCCGGCCATCACCCCTCTCTCCTCAACCTCCCTTGTCTGGCCTCCCTGATGACCTTCCCCATGTCACACTGTCCCATTTCGTCTTCCTTAGTAAATCATAGCTTCTCCGTGCCTCGGTTTCCCCACCGGTAACAGACACAATAGTGGCTCTGCCTCTTGGTTTAAGGTAGAAACAAGTCACCGTGGGGCAGTGAGTCTTAAGCAGGGGTGACATTTCCCCTGGAGACCTTTTGGAGGGTCACGACCAGGAAGCCACGTGGTGACCAGGGACCCGGGATGGGACGCTGGACTCGCCCTTGGCACCCTCCGGGGCTCCAGGTCATTGGGCCGTGGGAATCGCCTGGAGGCAGAGGGCGAGAAACTGCGCTCTGGGGAACGCGCTGAGGGTGGCACTCAGCTGCCAGTGCTGCTGTCCCCTGCCCTGTCCCCGTGCTTTGCCTGAGTGTCAGCACACCCTGACCTGTGCACATGAGGATGGAGAGATGCAGTGTCTTCCTCAGGACCAGGCATACAGGAGGTGCTCAATCAAGGTTTGATTGACCCCTGCACGTGGCGTCACTGAGAAGGTGCCTTCCATGGGGTCTGTCACAGGCAGACACTCTGGGGCGCTTTAGTTAAAGCGCTTGAAGACTTAATGACATCTGCAAGGCCTGGCATACAGTAGGTGCTCAATCAGTGTGTGGGGATGAACGAGAGAACCCAGGGAGCGGGTCTGTGTGGGGCCTGGGAATGGCGGCGCTCAGCTTCCTGCACTCACCGGCCACCCGGACCTCGGTCTTGGCCCTCATGGTCCAGGCGGGGTTGATGGCCACGGCCACCTGGTAGGTGCCGCTGTCCGACGGCTGGGCGCGACGCAGCAGCATGGAGCCGTTGGGGAAGCCCACGACGTCGCGCTGTCCCAGGGCGCTGCCGTCCCGCTGGGGCCGCTGCAGCCCAGGGATGTAGGTGAAGAGCCTCGTCCCCCCGTGGGCCTCCGCCCCCCGGTACCAGGTGAAGTCCTGGAAGCTGTCGGGGACACCCTGGAGGGACAGCAGAAGGTCCTGGTTCTTTTGAGGCTGTTCTGGAATCTTCTGGATATGGAGGGCTGCCCGGGAGCCGTGGGGTGGCCAGAGGGCCAGGATGCAGGCTGTGGGAAGGAACAGGGAGGCCCGAGATTGGGGCGCGGGGAGGGACCCCGTCATTCCCCTCCCCACAGAGCTTCATCTGGGGGCAGAGCCCGAGCTCGGGGCACTGGGAACAGGGCTGGCATCCATGAGTGGTGTCCCCTCTGGGCCCAGGAGGGCTTCCTGCCCTGAGGTACGGTGTCATCAGGATCCCCAAGTTCATTTATGGCACCACTCCTTCCAGGTGTGACACACTCAGGATCTGTGGTGCCCACCCCAGGTGACGTGTTACCATCCCCGACATTTTCCCCTGGTCACAAGGGGTACAGCAGGGAATCAAACACCAACCCCTTCCTGCCCCCGCGGTTCTAGAATGTTCTACAGACAACCTGGGAATGGACGTTACTCTAATGATTTCATCTTCCCCAATAATCGTCCCTTCCTTCCTAGAAGACACCCAGCCCTGGGCCCAGGGCCACCCTCCTCAGCCGCTCCCTCCTCACCTGAGAGCAGCAGGCCCTTTGTGAAGCAGCTCAGAGTCCCCATGAGAACAGTCCCCCAGTGTCCTGTGGAGATGCCAAAGGCCACAGGCGGGACCCCAGGAGGCCAGAGGGCTGGGCCCGCTGTCTGAAGGGCTCTGTGGGACTCCCGGTGCCGAGAAGCCCTGAGGCAGGCCCAGCCCCAGCGCCCCCTCCACAGCCTCCCGAGCTCCGTGCCGGTGCCTGAGATGGGTGCCAGGCACTGGTCGGACCAGTTTCCCAGGGTGACGGGAGCCTCCTGGGGCCTCCTGGACTCCTCCCCCGCCCTCTAGCCTCTTCTTCCCACTCAAAGTGACTGTCAGCAGTGAAGCCGTCACCACAGCCACGGTCCCAGCAGCCTCCAGGGCAGCCATCCCCCTGCAGCAGACCCCATCCAGAAACCACCTCACATCACAGATGAGGAACCCGAGACTCCATCCGCTTTGAGGCCAGGTGGGATTCCACCCGCGCCTGGCTCACTCTGAAGTGCTCGGCTGTTTCATTCAGGCACACTGGCCCGTGCCCAGTCCTGTGCTGGGTGGTGCTTGTGACACAGCGATTGGGACGTCCTGTATCCATCTTCAGCTGCAGGAGACCAGACCCCAGAGAGCCCCAGGGGACACCCCACTTAGCCTGAGGGGTAGGAAGCTTCCGGGAGGAGACCTGGAATGGGAGTCGAAATGGGTGGGGAGGATTGAGGTGTGGACAGGGCTGGGCCAGCCTCCGAGGTGCCCTGTGGTGGCTGCAAAGTCCCGGGTGAGGGAGGGGCTTGCCAGGCTGGGGGAGCCTGAAGGATCAACTGCATCTGGTTTGGGGACACAGCCTGGGCGCTGGAAGGTCCCGGGTTGTGCTGAGATTGTAGCGATTAGCCACATGGGCTAGTTCAATATAAGTTTAAATAGCCACTTAAAATATCAAAAAAATTAAATAGCCATTTAAAATGTCACATAATGTATTTCAATGTACATTTTAAAATGTATTAAAAAACGAGTGCTGGGTGTGGTGGCTCACACCTGTGATCCCAGCAACTGGGGAGGCTGAGGCAGGAGGATCCCAAGTTTGAGGCCAGACCTGGTTACAAAATGAAATCATGACAACATCACGATGAAGAGCCAAGGCCTGGGGAAGGGGCTGGGTCCCCTCCCCTCCTGTGGCCTTTCTCCAGGGAACCCAACTCCCCAGGGTCCCCACCTGCTGAACTGTAAATCACCGTCTCTAGGAGTCTCTAGGAGTCTGAGGACTCCCTCTTAAAATGTAAGGCCCCTATTGGAGGCTTTGAGGTCAGAGATGCCACAGGTGTCTGTGAAGAGTCCTTTCTTCTACTTGGAACTTTCTGGACTCTGTAGGGGAGCAGCTGTGTCACTAATTGCTGGGCAAATTGACTGCAGTCGAAACTGTAACCTCGGGGGTTCTTAGAACTAGATGGAGTCTCAGGAGGGGAACTCTGTCGTCTAGATCTCCTGCTGCCCGTGGTGACATCAGGTCAAGATAACGTCCACAGGGGCTGGGGCTGGGGCTTGGTGGTAGAGCGCTGGCCTACACACGGGAGGCACTGGGGTCCAACCTCAGCACCGCATAAAAATGAAGTAAGTAGAGCTATTGTGCCCACCTGCCAGGAAAAACAATGTACACATAAAGACAGCGGCCTCCAGTGCTCTACTGTCTTTGTTCCGCGCCTGGGAACTACCCCTGGTGGCATTTCTGCACATGTCCTTGGTCACAAAGGTCAAGAACTCCGTCCCCCCCATGTCTTGGCCGTTAAGAGGGGTGCCCAGCTTCCTGTGGAAACCCCAGGAAGCCTCAGCTCGGCCACAGCTCCAGAGCCCCAGCGCCTCTGGGTCAGCAGCGAGTCCACCTGCCCTCCAACCTCGGGGCTTGGTCTCTCGCTGAGTGGCCTAACAACACCCTGGCTGCAGGATCTTGGGGCTGCGCCCCTGAACCCCGCTTCCTCCTCTGGAGGATGGGAATCGGCAGGGCCACTTCACGGAGGGCTCAGAGGAGTAACCGGGGCTGTGCGCAGGTGGCTCTCACCTACTGTTGACCTTGTCCCCACGCCCCACCCTCCAGCCAGGCGCCGCTTCCCTGCAGGGGTTTCCAACCCCCCACTTCCCGGCTGCCTGGGAGGTTCCCCGTGGTGTCACAGGTCAGAACAGCCCAGTCCTTCCTGCTGCAGTTTTGGGATCTCCTGTCAGATCTTTGCCAATCAGCAATTACAGCAGGATTTTCCAGTTGATGAAGCAGCGTGAGAGAGATCTCCCTCCTCTCTCTCTCTCTCTCTCTCTCTCTCTTTCTCCCCCTCCCCTCCCCTCCTCTCCCCCTCCCCTCCCTCTCCTTCTCTTTCTCTTTCTTCCCTCCCCTCTCTATCCCCTCCTCCTCCTCTTTCTCCCCCTCCCTCTCCCCCGCCCCCTCCCGCCCCCTCCCTCTCCCCCGCCCCCTCCCGCCCCCTCCCTCTCCCCTCCCCCTCCCAGCCTCAGAGGCCGGACCCCATGGGTCCCAGCCAATGGGATTGGTTGGGCGGTGTGGGAGCTGGCCAATGAGATGGGAGGGATGCTGCAGGGAGGAGCTCCTCAGGCCTAGAGATTCAGCGCGAGGGGATGGGCTGCTCCTCTGGGTCTGAGACTGGGTGGAGGTGATGGCTGAGTGGCCCCACCGTGTGGGCATCAACCTGAGGCTGATGGCAACATTTGGAGGAAAGCAGAATGAATCACAGAGAAGCAGGGCTGAGAAACCGGGGTTCCTGGAGTAGAGCAGGAAAATCCAGCTCCTTATTTTAAATATCAGCCTGCAGAGGAGGGGTGGGGTGGGGCCCGGGGTGGGGGGAGTTGCTATTGATACTGGGGATTGAACCTGGGGCGCTTTACCACTAAGCTACATGTTCAGCCCGTTTAATTTTTATTTATATTTTCAAAATTTTAGACAGGGTCTCCCTAAGTTGCTTAGGGCTTGGCTAAGTGGCCGAGGCTGGCCTCCAACCTGTGAGCCTTCTGCCTCAGCCTCCTGAGTCGTTGGGATTACAGGCGGGCCCCACTGTGCTGGCTAACCCTTGCATATACGTTCATCCTTTACTTCAAAGCTTTGATGTATTCCTGAAAATTCTGCCAGTAAGAGAAGAACTAGGAATTTTTTTTTTCTGTAACAAATCTTTATCATTTTTACCAAAATTGTGCTAAAATGCACACATTTTCCCATTCTGACCATTGAAAACTTATGGTGTTAGTACATTCACGATGTTGCACACCTATCACCACCATCTGCACCCAGGACATGTTCATCACCTCAGAAGGAAACCTTGAACCCAGTTTGCTCCCAGTTTCCTCCTTCCCAGCCTCCACAACACTCTGGCTGTCTTTGCGGATGCCGCCCTTTCTGCAAATGTCATATAAATGGAATTATGCAACAGGGGGCCTTGGTGGCCAGCTTCTTGCACTTAGTGTAATGCCTTGGGGCTCGGTTCTGTTTTTACGGTTGAAGAACATCCCTTGTCTGGGCACACCACGTTTCCTATTGTGGTAGAGCTGGTGTGAACCTCTGCATATAAATATGTGTTCAAGTGCCTGTTTTCAATTCTTTGGGGGTTACATTCCTGGGAGTGGAATTCCCAGGTCACTTTGTCCTTTTGTAAACAAAATTTTTTTAGGAAAAAAAATTTTTTTCTGTAACAAATTTTTATTATTTTTACCAAAATTGTGCTAAAACACATAGGTTTGTGCTAAAACACACACATACAAACTTCTTTTAAAAGAAGTTGGATCACCATTTGACCCAGCTATCCCACTCTTCGGCATACACCCAAAGGACTTAAAATCAGCACATCACAGTGACATATTCACATCAATGTTCTTAGCAGCTCAACTCACAATAGCCAAGCTATGGAACCAGTCTCGGTGCCCTTCAACACAGATAATGGGTACAGAAAATGCGGAATATATATATAATGGAATATTACTCGGCCATGAAGATTAATGAAATCATGGCATTTGCTGGTAAATGCATGGAACTGGAGACTATCGTGCTAAGTGAAATAAGCCAGTCCCCAGAAACCAAACCATATTCTCTCCGATATGCAGATGCTAATTCACAATAGATGTGTTGGGGAAGAACAGAAGTTCACTGGATTAGACAAAGGGGAATGAAGGGGAGGGGGGATGGGAATGGAAAAGCCCAGTAGAATGAACCAGACATCACTTTCCCAAGTTCATATGTGAACACGACCAGTGAAACTCCACCTCACGTACAACCACGAGAAGGGGAAGCTATGCTCCCTGTGTGTACGATATGAACAAATATAAAAAATAAGTTAAAGGAAAGCCCCCTGGGCTGGGGCTGGGGCTCAGCGGTAGAGTGCTCGCCTGGCACGTGCGAGGCCCTGGGGGCAATGCCCTGCACCATGTCAAGATGAATACGAAATAAAGGTATTGTGTCCAGTCACAACTAAAAAACAATTAAAAAAAAATCCTGGGCACACAGTTAAATAAACTAAGGGTTTATTTAAATAAATTTTATTTATTTATTAAATAAATTTTACTTAAATAAATAAATATATGGAAGTCAATCCTTCCCTCGACTCTCCAGCAGTGTGGACCTCGGCCTGGTCCCTCACTCCTGTCCCTTCTCCCCCACCCTCCTCTGCTCTCTGGGGCTCTCTGGAGGGACTCCAAACCCTGCTGCGTTTCCTCCCACAGACTCGGATCCTAGGGGTTTTTTTTTGTGGTGCTGGGACTCCATCCCAGGGCCTCGGGTGTGCTGGCCACAGGCTGTCCCCTAGCCCTGAGCAACACCCCCGCCTCCCGCAGGCCTTTCACAGTCAACTTTAAAAGTCCCAAGTCTCTTGGGCTGGGCTGGGCTCAGGGGCGAGCGCTGGCCCAGCACGTGTAAGCACCGGGTTCCATACTCAGCACCACGTAAAAATAATAAGGAGCTAGTAAGATGGAGGCATGTGACCATCTACAGAAGTCAAAAATAATAATAAGTTTCTCAGTGTCAGTGCGGCCTGCAGAGCGGCTCTGCGTCCAGGGTGGCATAGCTGCTGGGCACAGGGTCTGACCTTGCTAAAGGTCACCTCCCGGGAATCCTGGCGCGGCTGCAGATGCTGTCCTGGGATCTGGGTGGTGGCTGACAGCCCCCCACAGGCTCGCACTTGTCACTTGCCACTCCAGGTCCTCGTACAAACCTGGGCAGTCTGGTTCTCTTTGGTGACCAGGCTCAGGGCTGCTACTTGTCACCATGGAGATCCAGCTGACACAGACCTTTGGAAGTTCAGTGCCAGAGGCCCACATTCTCTGGCAGCAGGCACATTCGGTGTCCTCTGTGCAGAAAAAGAATAACCCTGCCCAAGGAGAGAGCTGGCCTTTGTCCCCGGCCCCTGCAAGGTCACCTGTGAACCCTTGGAACATCCTGCCTGTCAGTTTGCCTCAGGGCCTGGGCCACTCGGGGAGGGGGGTTTCCAGTAATGGAGTGAGCTACAGCGGGGCCCTTGGTTTGACTATGGAGAGGCTAGAGCAGGGTCAGCCGCATAGAAGGCCAGCAGCGTCCATGTGCTGACCCCGATAAAAAGTCAGGACACGCGGTGGCACACTCCTGTAACCCCAATGGCTCAGGAGGCTGAGGCAGGAGGATCTCAAGTTCAAAGCCAGCCCCAGCAACCTAGCCTTAAGCAACTCAGCGAGGCCCTGTCTCTCAATAAAATATAAAAAAGGGCCGGGACGTGGCTCAGTGCTTAAGTGTCCCTGGATTCAATCCCAGTTCAAAAACAACAATAACAACAATAGAAACAAACAAAAGTCGGGACCCTCCGGTCACTGGTGAGCTTCCCTGGCTCGAGGTCACATCAGTGCTGGGGGCATTCAGTGCTGACCCTGGGAGTCGCCGGAGAGGCAGGAGGAGGAGCCCCCGATGGCTCCCCCAGACCTGCTCGGTGCTGTCCTCTTGGCTGATGGTGACCTGTCGTCGTGAGCTGGCGGCTCTCCTGAGTGAGGCGAGCGGTTTCTTGGAGGCCTGTGGATTCTTCTTGCAAGTGAGGAGCCCAGAAAGAGGCCCTGGGGGCTCCCAACTCGCAGCCGCCCACGGCACCGTGAGGGGACAGGCTGCAGGTGTGCGCGGGGCCGGCCTGGCCTGCTGCAGGGGTCTTCCACCATCGGGTGGGGTCCCACCAGCGAGGCTCCCGGCTAAGCAGTTCTGTCCCTCTGTTCAGTGCTGACACTGTCACCTTGTGCTTTCGGCTGGTCCATCCAGGGGGACCTGGGCGTAGGTGACGTCCTGGAAGGGGGAGCTCAGCGTTAGCCTCGGACACTTTCAGACAACAGGCGGATCTTGGAGCTGAAGGGCAGCGCGCCGCCCACTCCCCTCCCCCTGGAAGCCAGGCCAGTGCTCCCAGGAACAGTCACTGGGGGGCGCAGTGCTGCAGGGACGATCCCCAGCCCCCACCTGAGTCGCAGGGGGCTTCAAACTCTACCGAGACTCCCGCAGCTTGAGGCAATGGGAGGAAAGATCTAGGCCCCCAGTGCCATTCTGTGTGTCCCCTCCTGGAGAAAGTCCTAGCAATTGACCTGTGGTCCCCACAGACCCCCAAACCCTCCTCAGCTGCACCTCCGCACTTACCCCGTTCTCCGAAGGTCTGGGTCGGTCGCGGTGGCCATCTGGAGAAAGAGGAAAATTTCAGGAAGAAAGGACAATGCTGGGGGGCGGGGCTGGGAAGGGGACCTGTGCGGGTGTCTGGGCCCTGGAAATTCAAAGTCCTGCCTTTGCTAGTGATCTGGGGGTGCTCTTTCCCTTAGCGGGGTACACATTTATCAAACATGGATGGTTAAGTGCTCTTTAAGGAGTTAGTCGTCCAGATATTAATTTGATTATAAAAAATAAATGAAAATTTATTTGCATGAGCTCAAATCCCATCTCTGTTCTTTAGGATCTGTGTGACTTTAGACAAATGACTTAACCTTTCTGTGCCTCGGTTTCCTCCATTATCCAACAGGGGTTTATTCAGAAGATTGTATTATTATTCAACAAACAGTAACTATCTTGTACCAGGGGCATTCAAGGTGCTAGGAATTCAACTGTGCATAAGACACAAAAATTCCCCGCTCTGGTAGAATTTTAATAACGATGATGATGATGATGATGATCGTAATAGCAAGGCGTAGCTTACAGCATGTGGATGTTGTGCTAAATGCTGATGGCTACTCCCACTTTACAGTTTAGGAAACTGAGTCACACCATTTGCTCATGGTGAGATTGAGACAGTTGCCATGGTTATGACCTTGAATGACCTTCAAGGACAATGTGTTGCAGGCTTAACCATAGCCCTGGAGCTATGGGAGGTGCTGGGAGACTGGATGGTGGGCCGATGGGAGGACCTTAGGTCACTGGGGGGCATGCCCTCTGAGGGGATGCTGGGCCCTGACTCTTTCCTGGCTCTCTGTTTCCTGGCCACCATGAGCTGGCCGGACCTCCTCTGACCCAGGCTCCCACCAGGACGTGCTGAGCTGCCACCAGCCCAAAGCCACAAGGCTGAGCAACCACAGTCTGAAGCCACAAGCCCAAATAACTGTCCCTCCCTGTGCCTGTCAGGCCTGGGTCACGGAGGGGGCGAGCTGGGCGACATGGTGTGGCATGAGGCCCCCACACAGATACTGGCCCCTCCACTCAGGAAACCCTTCCCTAAGTGCCGGGTGGTGCTGGGGACACAGCTGTGGCCCTGACACTCCCACTGTGCCCTCCTGGGCTCATAGATCACCGGGTTACACACACATACCCACCCGGTGGTGACCCCAATGGCTCCTGCTTCCAATGGGAGCAGACCTTGGTGCACTCTGCGGGGTGGTGGGGTGGTGGAGGGCTTCCTGGAGGTGTGGCCAGGGGGACCCCGAGATTCCCGCCTCCCCCCAGGGAAAAGCTTCCTCCCAGGAGTCCTGCCTCGCTGTGTGACTGCTGACCGGAGACTTCTCCTGTCACAGCAAACACTCCCTCCTCTGTCACACAGGGCTTACGGTGGCACCCTCTTTTCTGGGTGGTTGTGCTATTCACTGAGCTCCTGTGTCAGAACCCTTGGTCCCTAGAAAGTGCTCAGCAAACGCAGCCTTGTGACAACAGAATCCGCAGAAGCGCTTCACAGGAGGAGGGGGGAGGGGGTTCCAGGCAGGGGACAGCCTGGACAAAGTCCCTGTGGTGCCAAGGCACTGGCCTTTGAGAGCCAAGCATCAAGGGGGCCAGTTCCTGCCACCTCCCCCTGGGGTCACTCCTGGGCAAGGCAGGCAGAGAAAAGCTGGTGGGGGCGTGTCACCCCACCCTCCATCACTCTGGCAGGGGCTCCCGTGTCACACGGACTAAAAGCCAAAGTCCTTGCGGTGGCCTTCGAGGCCTTACATGACTGTCCCCCTCCCTAAATATTTGTAAAATGACTCGATGAACTAAGGACGGAGACTCCCTGGTCTTGGGTCCTTGTCTCTAAAATGGGGGACACTCCATGGTGATGGAGGGAGAGGTGCACGCGGTGAGCACCACGCCCAGCACACAGTGGGTGTTCAACTATGGTGACTGGGGGTGCTGGTTCACGGCAGGCAGGTGGGGGTGTGCCCAAGAGGAGGGGACTCACCACGGCCCCTGTGCAGCTTGAAATAAAGGATCCCTGCGACGATGAGGATGACGAAGGCGATGGTGGCAACAACGATGCCGATGATGGCGCCGGGGCTCAGGCGAGACCCCTCTGGGTCTGGCAGGAAGAAAACAGGCCTTAGGTGAGGGAGCTTCTGGGGCGATCCCCCGCCCAGCGCGCGTCCCTCTAGAGCCCGCAGCCCGCGGGCCACTCTGCCCCGCCCAGTGGGTGTGGCTCAGGCGGACTTGGACTCAGCCCTGGCCAATGGGAACGTCTCAAGCTCCCTGGCTGCTGTGATTGGCTCATGTAGGCGGGCTGGGACCTAGGCTGGGCCAATGAGAGCCAGCCCTGGGGTTTTGGTTTAGAGCTCTCAGGGCTGTCTTCCCCCGGGTATACAGGTGGGGGCGAGCTCTTCTAGCTGCTGAGCACCAGCTGGATTCCCTAGGACAGAACCTAAGAGCTGAAAGGAACGGAGATGCGAGAGGACAGGAAACTTCCTGGGCTCCATAGCTGGGGCGCCCAGATCCAACTGCACTTGAAAGCAAATTCTCAATAAAGTCTTCTACTTCTTCTTTTTGCTCGGATTATTTTGAGTCATGCTTTTCTGTCAATTGCGATGGATGCAGTTCTTCCCCACCTACTTAGAAAGGCTTTTCTGAGTCCCTGGGGGAAGAGGCATCGCACAACTGGCCCAGCCTGAGTGGGTGGAGGGAGCGCGTCCAGGTGGCTGCACTATGGTCTGGTGGCACATAGCAGGTCCACTAGCTAGGTGTGGGGGTGCACCCCGGTAATCCCAACGGCCTGGGAGGTTGAGGCAGGAGGATCACTAGTTTGAGGCCAGCCTCCCCAACTTAGCAAGGCCCTAACTAACTTAGTGAGACCCTGTCTCAAAATAAAAAATCAAAAGGGCTGGGGATGGGGCTCTGGGGTTAAGTGCCCCTGGATTCAATCCCTGGTGCCCAAAAAAGAAAAAAAGAAAAAGTAAAGCTGACCCTGCTGGTCCTCTCACGAGAGGGCTCAGAGGAAGCCTGGCATCAGAGCATCCTGGGGCTGAAGGTCTCCAAGGAGCACCTCACCTTTGACTAGGATGGTCTGTTCCTTCTGACTTGTCCCTAGAGCGTTGGTGACGCGGCAGATGAAGGTCATGTTGATCGCTTGGTTGGTGGAGATCAGGAGCTGGGTGCCCTGGGCCACAGCAAAGGATGGCAGGGGACCTGTGGTCCTGGGGGAGACAGATGGGTAAGGACGGGGCTCTGCTGGAGCCCTAGGGACACTGCCACCCAGCACGCAGTGTGTGCCAGGGACATGGACACCATCACGCCATCTATGACATGGGTCGAGAGCAACTCTGGAGTCCCGGGGCTCTTCTCCTCCTTCACACCCACATCCAACACCGGAAAATCCTGTCGCCCCACCTTCAAAACCTGTCCATCATCCACGCGCTCCTGGGGCCCCCCTAGCCACCACCCTGGTCCAGTCTTTGGCCCTCCAGTTTCTGCTTTCGCCTGTTCCCCAAATGACCACCAGAGGGCGTCAGCGAGCCCGACCTCAGCTCCTTCCCCTCCTGGATTCAGAACCCTGCCCTGGCTGGTCCCTGCCACCCTCATGACCTGCGCCCTCCTACCCCAGCCTTCTGCCCACACTGTCTATGAGTCTTCCCATTGCTCCTGCGTCTATCCACGGTGGCCTCCTGGTTGTCCTTTGCAGATGCAGGCCCAGGGGCAGAAACGTGTTTGCATACACTGTTCCTCTGCCTGCAATGCTCTTCCAGGTACCTCACCCTCACCTCCTTCAGGCCTCTGCCCAGATGTCACCTCCACAACAACGTCCTCGGCCACCCTGTTTAAACTGCAACGACCCTCCTCTTTTCCATCCCCCTCCTCTGTTTTATCTTTGTCACGACATTTATCAATATCGGACCTGCTATGTGCTTTACGACTCCATCCTGCCTATTTCCCCTCCCTCGGTGCCCCACGAGGGGAAGGAATCTGCTCCGTCTTATTTACTGCAGTAGGTTGGCCCATGGCCCCGAACGCAGGAAATAGCGGAGCACCTTGGTTTAATGGACAGAGGTGGAGGAGGTGACGTTTTGGGCTCTGCAGAGCTGGATGTAAATCCAGCCATCAGATTTGAGACCCCGAATTGTGGTGCCTGGAGCCAGGATGTCAAAGGTGGCACCTGTCACCGCCAACTGAAAATCCTGGTGGTGCGTGCCTATAATCCCAGTGGCTTGGGAGGCTGAGGCAGGAGGATCCCAAGTTCAAAGCCAGCCTCAGCTACTTAGTGAGGCCCTAAAAGCAACTCAGCTACTCAGTGAAACTCTGTCTCTAAAATTAAAAACAATAACAAATCAAAAACCAAACAAGGCTGGGGAGGTGGCTCAGTGATTAAATGCCCCCGAGTTCAATCCCCGGAACAAAGACAGAAAGAAAATCCTGATGACAGTTTTCCCACTGATGATTGGTAAATGTCTGTGACTTTCTGTGAAAGTGGGAGGCTTAGTACAGGTACCACTGTGACATCTGCACAGCGGACCATGGAGAATGATCCCCGTGTCCCACCTTAGGGCTAGTTGATCATAATGGCAGGCCCTGGGATGGAATCCCAGCAAGATTCCAAAAGGGACTGAGGTGCTTTGAAATACAAGGACAGGAAGGGCTGGCGGGCAGACCTGGGATAAGACCCTCAGTACGGTGTCAGCGAGAGAATCCACTGGGTGGACTTTGGAGTGTTGACTGGGAAATTTTTATGACTGTATGTTTGAAAAATCCCCTAATAAAGATGTTAGGGAAAATGGGGTTGTGGAACTACGTGCTTTGGCACGGAAAGGTGTTCAGAGAACAGGAAGTTTCAAAATCACGCAAGCAACGGAAAGCCAGCTTTTGTTTAGAAATAGAGAAAAAGAGAGGAAGGATAAATAACAAAAGGTAATAGCAGATACTTCTGGAGGTGACTGGCTTCACATGACTATAGGCACTATTTTCTTCTTTTCACTCCTAAATATTGTCTGAAGAAAAAGGCTCAATAACAACAATGTAAAGCAATTTATCCTTTGGGGCTGGGGGTGTAGCTCAGTGGAAGATCATTTGCTTAGCATCTTTGAGGCCCCGATTCACCCCCAGCGCCAAAATGAATAAAGAAATCAACTATACCTTTTTCTTTTCTTTTTGTTTCTTTCTTCCCTTTATTTTATTTTGAGACAGGGTCTTGCTAAGTTGCCGAGGCTGACCTCACAATTGCAATCCTCCTGCCTCAGCCTCCTGAGTCACTGGGATGACAGGAATGAGCCCCTCTGCCTTTTTCCCCAATCTCAACCTTGGTGTGACTTTGGGGAATCTTATGGTTGGGAGCCTCAACTTTCTCACGCAGCCTGTGGAGGTGACTAAGTGGCTTCACAGGGTGATAGGGAAGTGGCATTGCCCAGGGGTTGGTGGGACTGAGTGGGAAGCCAGACACAGACTCTGGACTGTGGTTGATTTTTCTTTGGCTTAGCTTTGGTTTGGGGTGCCAGGGTCCAGGCCCAGCCCCCTCCCCCAGACCCAGGTCTCCATCCGCTCGACTCACGTGTTCCAGGCGTAGTCTGTGGGCTCTGGGTTGCTGCGTGCCTCACAGTTCAAGGTGACCTCATCTTGGCCCACGTACCAGTTGTCGTCATAGCCAGAGATGGTAACCTCAGGGGGGTCTGGGGGAGATGGACACAGGCTGAGTCGGGCGCTTTCCTGGGGTGTGAAGGTGCACTGTGTCCCCTCCCGGCAGGAGAAGGCCTCCGTGGAGTGCGGAGCTGCCCAAGGTGGAGAGGCCTGTGGGGGGACTCCAGGGCGGGGGACTCCTTCCGAGGGCAGAGTGTGGGTGGCCCTGTCAGGGGGGGGTGTGGAGGGGGCTTCGGGGCCCAGCTCCCTGCCAACATCCCTGTGACACGTCCCTGCCTGCCCTGGGTGTCCTGGGAGCAGAAGCCTCCCGTCACCTGTAGCCCACAGGAGCACGTTCAAGGTTCTGACAAGTCCTGCAGACAGAGTCCTGGCTGAGCCTGCATCAGTCCAGAAATGTCACCGGCCCCCCATTGTCCAGCTACGTTGGGAGGCTAAGGCAGAAAGGATGCAAGTTCAAGGCCATCCTGGGCAATTTAGTGAGAGGCCGTCTCCAAATAAAAAATAAACAGGGCTGGGGCGTGGCTCAGTAGTGGGGAGCCCTGCGTTCAGTCCCCAGGACCATTTATTTTTCTTTTAAGGAGGTGGCTTGTCCAAACTTTAAAGTCATATAGTAGCTCGTGCCCTCCTGCCATCGGATGGGGCTGCCCGTGTGGACATATTTTTGGGGTGTCAATGATGTCAATGCTGGGGGGGGTAGAGGAAGTGACACTGTGTAGGAGACCCAGGCTGTGGGGGCTGTGGGCTCAGAACACAAGGAAGCCGTGTGGCAATGCAGGGGGTTGGGCAGCCCAGGGAGCAGGCAGTGTAGACAGCACTGGGCAGAGGGCAGCGTAGGCTACACTGGAAGAATCATGTCGATGCTGCTCAGGGAGCCCGGGTAAAAAACTCAGGGCAAACTGATCTAACCCAGGGGAGCCGGTGGCTCAGCAGCATTGGTATAGACCATGTCAGGAGTCAGCGTAGACAACGGGAAGCTGGGTAGAAAATGCATAAGGAGGGCCGGGCATGGTGGTGCACGCCTGTAATCCCAGAGGCTTGGGAGGCTGGGGCAGGAGGATTGCAAGTTTGAGGCCAGCCTCAGCAACTTGGTGAGGCCCTAAGCAATTGAGAGAGACCTTTTCTCAAAATAAAAAATATAAAGGGCAGAGGGTGTAGCTCAATGGTAGAGCATCGCTGGTACCAAAAAAATAAAGAAAATGGACAGGCACTGATATAGACAAGGGGGACAGCCGTGTGGACACTGGGGAAGGCCAGTGTAGACAGTTGCCCCAGGGAAGCAGGTTGCAGGCAAGGTGTGGGGCCGTGTAGACCGTGCTGAAGGGAGTTGTGTAGACTGGGTGGGGCGTCAGTGTGGGCAGTGGCTGTCCTGTGGGGTTGGGCGGTGCTATCGTGGCTCAGTGGGGCCAATGTGACGATGGAGACTTTGCCCTTGATCACACGTGGGCACACTCACAGGGCACAGCCAAGGTCACCAGCAGCACGGCAGGCTCCTCCTGGCTCTCGTGCTCCACCCTGCAGGTGACGTTCCTGCCATCTGCCTGGCTGGAGGGCACCAGTGTGAAGACGCTGTTGACGGTGTACGTGCCCGGCAGGGGTCCTGGCTCCACGGTGCTGTTGGCTGAGCCATTCAGGAACGGGGACCAGGTGACTTTGGCGGGTGGGCGCCCCCCTTTGGAGCTGCAGCGGGCCACGGGCACAGGTTTCCAGGTGGATGGCCTCAGTGGGACCTCCTGGGCCTCTGCTGTGTTCCAGGGCTTGGCTGGGGGGAGAAGCAACAGGGCGGGTCACCTCCTGCCTGAGGTCATTCCCAAACCCCTCAGCAGCAGCCGGTGTCTATTTAAGGATCCAGGATGGTCAGGTCAGATCCCAGCTCTGTCCCTGAGCAGCTCGGTGGCCTTTATTTGTCAACTGGGGATAACTAAGGGTCACAGGGAATGAGAAGGCGGGCAGGCAAAGCTCTTGGCACATAAATGCTCAATGGTGGGTGGTAATGACCAAGGCCACCCTGCCCTGCCCCACCCTGGGGTACAAACAGATGTTCCCCAGACAGTGATGATCCGCAGTGGGATGGGGGACCCAGAGGGGACATCAGAGGAAGATGTTGCAGAAGAGAGGAGGCCTGAGCCCTGAAAGTCCAGAGGGGAAGTGACCCACCCAAGGTCACTGAGCTGGGCTTCCTGGCAAGGTCCGCCTGGTTCCAGAACCCTGTTGACCAGATCTGAAGGGCTATTGTGGTGGTTCCCTAGCCGGGGGCTTCCCTGGGTTGCTTCCTGTCACGACCTGGGTCATTACTCACTGAAGACTTTTTCCTTGGGTGACTCATGGATTCAGTTTCCCCCCCAGCCTAAATCTAACACTCGGAATCCCAGGAATCCCAGCCTGGGGGACCCCAAGAGGAGTCATCAGTATTGCTATTGTCTGCAGGGCACGTTCCAAGCAGGTGATGAAAATTTCATGACTCATTGGAAGGGCTAGGAAAAACTGGGGCCTGGGGACTTCTGTTCAAGTTCCAAGAGGAAAACTAGTCAACCACCCCCACCCTCCCACCCCCCGCTCAGGAAACCGTCCCCAGGGCCCCACCTGCAGTCGGGGTGGGGGTGGGGGGGTGGGCAACCAGCGGTCCCCTGCGGGACCGGCAGTCGCTGCCTCCCAACTGTCTCAGTTTCAACTTTTCCTTCTTCTCTAAACACGGGAGCAACGGCTGACATCTAGTGAGGAGCTCCCAGGAGCGGGGACAAGTCCCCAAGCGTCCCCTTGCAAAGCTTCACCTGGCTAAACTCAGGCGACCCCAGGACACCTTTCTGAGTGTGGCGCTGTTTACAGGAGTTTTGCATTTTCCTCCCAGTCCCCAAGATCGGTCCCTGCAGGGTCCCCGCTCCACCTCGCCCCGCCCCCGCCAGGGCCCCGCCCACTCCGTCCCCAGGAGCGGCCGGTGGAGCCCGGGCGTCCCGCCACCTCGCCGCCCGCCTCGGGTCCCCTCCGCTCACCGAGCACTCGGAGCCAGGTCCACGCGATCCCGCTGCCCATGGGGAAGGTGGCGAACTGGCAGGAGTAGTTGGCCTGGTCCTCGGCGCGCAGCTCGGACACCCTGAGCGAGGCGTCCAGCAGATCCGCGCTCGCGAACCTGATCCGCTCCGGCTCCGCCAGGCTGGGGCCCCGCGTCGGGTGGCGGACCGCCACTTTGTGGAGGCCTCCTTCTGAGTCTTGCCGCATCCACGTCACTTGGGTCACCTGCGCATTGGGCTCCAGAGGCTGCAGGTGGCAGGGCAGTAACAGAGAGCCGTTCAGGAGGCCGCTCACCTGAGCAGGTGCCTGGACCACGACAGTCCCCGTTCCTGCAGGGAAACCGAGAGCACCTTTATAAATGGGGACACTGGCCCAGAGGTCTGCTCCCTCTCACCGCCGGGCCAGCGGGAATTGGAACCTGGGCTGTCTGTAGTAAGGCGCCAGATCCTATAGGAAAATCTTCTCTGTGCCCGCCCAGCACACAGTAGGTCCTCAGCATGTGCTGGCCCTTGCCGACATTAGTAAACATAACGCTATGGATTCTTCTTAATAATAATAAGGTCAGTGCTGGCTCAGAGGGCTGGGGGAGCAGGAGGGGACAGGAGGCAAGGGAACAGATGTGGGGCCCTTGTGCAGGTGGATTCAGGCCTCTGAGCCTCAGTTTCCTCATCTGTAAAATGGGTGCTATCGTTTGGATCTCAGGACTCCCTCAAAGGTCCATGTGGTCAAGGCTGGGACCCTTTAAGAGGTGAGGCTTAGTGGGAGGGCTTTAGGTCATTGGGGGTGTGCCCTTGAAGGCCATGGTGGGACTTTAGTCTCTTTTTTCCTCCCCAACTGGAGTTTAGCTCCACTACTCGCTCCTGCTATTATATGCTGCCTTGTCACCAGCCCCAAACCAACTAATCAGTGATTGAAACTTCCAGAACTGTGAGCCAAATAAACCTTTGCTCTTTAGAAGGTGATAATCTCTCCAGGTAGGTGGCACACACAGGTGGCTCAGAAGGCTGAGGCAGGAGGATCACAAGTTCAAAGTCAGTCTCAACAACTTAGGGAAGCCCTAAGCAACTCAGTGAGACTGACTCTAAATCAAGTACCAAAAAAGGGCTGGGGACGTGGTTCAGTAGTTAAATGCCCCTGGGTTCAATCCCTGGTAACAACCTTCCCCCCCAAAAAAGAGTTAAATTTCAATAGCACAGTAGCATCTTCCCCTAGAGCAACCTGCACCCCAAAAACTTCTGGAACCTCACAGCTATTCAAGGCAAGATAATGTCAGATTGACACCCCTCAAAGACCCCCACCAGGCACAGAAGAAACATATCAATGAAATGAAGCAAGATCATGTCAATAAAGCCCAGACTGTCTCAAAAAAAAAAAAAAAAAAAAAAAGATTATCTCAGGCATTTTTTTTTTTCCCCAGTGACTGAAGGGGTCTGGGACGGATGGCGACTCTGCTCTTGACTTGCTGTGCAGCTCTGGGTCGGTGACTCTCCTTCCTGGCAGGACTATTGTGGGGGATGAAATTGGGCGAGGTGGCCTCTGCTGAAGCTTCCTCCAACCCTCTCCAGAGCCCTGTGTGAATCACACTAGAATTTTCGTCCCTTTAAGAGAGGGGAAAGCCGGGCTGGGAGGGTGAAGTCACTTCCTGGGGTTAGACACGGGCAGAGGCTGGGCTGGGAGCGGGTCGGTGGGCTCCACCCTGCACCCAGACCATCCTGGCGCTGGGGCGGGCGGCGAAATCCTCGCAAAACCCGCCTTGCCAGGGAAGGCCCTCCCCGCCCCCGCGGCCACCACTCAGCAAGTTCACTTTCCCACGGTCACACAGGTATTAGATCCCAGCCGCTGAGGTCTGAACCCAAGCGGACTGACTGAGAGCTGCGGCGCCAGCACCCGGCACCCTCCCCGACACACAGCAGGTGCTCAATAAACAAGTGCGGAGAGAGTGCCCCGATTCTATGAATGAATGAATCCCTGACTGGCCAGGGTCCCGGGGCCAGCGCCGGTGCCGCCGTCTCCCAGGTCAGCCCTCTCGGTGGTCCTGGCCGCTGGCTGGCCCGGGCGTGGCGATCGGGAGCCGGAGGTCACCGCCGTGAGTCATCCTCCTTTCCCGGAGTCGGACCCCGGTTTCGGGAATCTCTGAACTCCACCGGGCCCCTGTCAGGGCGGCTCAGAGGGGGGTCCTGCGGGGGTCCCTATTCCTTCCAGCCCCGGGGCGGAGGAGGTTGCGTGGCAGAGGGTCGGTGCCTGCAGCCTTCGGAGGCCCAAGAGGCAGAGAGCTGCGGGGAGCGGGGCGGGGGCTGGGTCGGGACCGCGAGCCGCGCAGAGGTCACTCACCGGCTCCCCAGGTCGCCCAGGACAGCGCCAGCAGCGCCAGCAGCGCCGGGGGTGAGACCATGTTGGTTCCTCGGTGTCGCAGGCCCAGAGCGCCGCTGCGATCTGCGGGTTGGACTCTGGCTGCTCCTCCGCGGACGTCCGAGGTAGCGACTGGGACGAGTCCAGCGTCGGAATGCCCTAGGCACCGCCCACCCGAGGCGCCAGCTGCGGAAGGGCACGTCCCACTTCTCCGGTGCCCGGCGCCGCCGCGGGAAGGCGCGTCCTCTGCGCAGGCGTGAGCCACCTGGAACTCGTGACAGCCCTGGAGGTGGGCGCTGGTCCCACGACGCTTTCGTTGGGAGGACGTCCATCTTACAGGGGAGGAAATCGGGGCAGGCAGAGACAGACGGCGATTTCCTTTTTTCCCTTTTTTGGTACCGCGGATTGAACCCAGGGGCGCTTAAGACTGAGCCCCCATCCTTAGCCCTTTTCTATATTTTATTTAGACACAGGAGCTCACTGAGTTGCTTAGGGCCTCGCTAAGTTGCTGAGGCTGGCTTTGAACTCGGGATCCTCCTCCCTCAGCCTCCCGAAGCGCCGGGATCACAGGCGTGCACCACTGCACCTGGCAGATTCAGCAGTTTTCTAAAAAGTCTCGGCTGCTCAGTGGCAGAGCTGAAATTGGAACCCGTAACTGGGACAGATCCGAGCTCTAAATCGCCCCTGATCTTCCACTCATCGGGGACCCACGGGCTGGGGAATTAATTAGGCAGATCTGGGCACAAACGCACAAATCGGTTCTCTTGGGCCTCAGTTTTCTCATTTTGAAATGGAGCATGGTGATGGTGCTTCACAACCACTTGTAAGGCTTGGGCAGGAAGCTGCCTGGCCGGATTCCTGGCCTGGAGTACTCCAGCAGCCACAGCAGCAGCAGAGACAATGGTTAACATTGTTGCTTTACAGCTGTCGGCAGGAAGCTCCTATTTAGCACAAGTGAAGCTCTGTGTTCAACCCAGCACCAAATAAAATACCGACCATGCTCACCAGAGAGGTGGCTCGTTTGTTCTTCATCCAGCCTTAAGTCATTGAGCCAGCCATTATCCCCGGCACTGGGGGGGCGGCACAGCAGAAAATAATACAGAGAAGAAGTTCTGCCTTCCTGAAGCCCCAGCCTAGTGGACAGAAATGGATCAGAAAGGTAACAGTTCCACCAAAGCCCTCAGGTCCCAAGGCCATAAAGATTATGGAGCCACAGAGCCAGGTAGGGGGCTGGGCAGGCAGGGAGGGGGGGAATCAGAGGCAGGGACTAGGAGATGGGGGAGGGAGAGAGGGAGATAGATGACACAGAGGATGAAGACCAGAGAAAGGACAGAGAGACCAAGAGAGAGGTGAGGAGAGCAGCACCCGGCAGAGAGAGACAGACCCAGAGAGCCTGAGAGGTTTCCTGGTCCCCAGGGGTGTCTGTCTTGGCCAGAGTCCCCATAAGTCCCAAGCAGGTCTGGTCCTCTTTTGCAACATCCCTATGTCATTCTTGAAGATTCCTCTTTTGAGTTTTGTTTACTTTGGGGGATTTGGTCCCTGGACACCCTCTGCCTTGGTTTTGATGCCCACGGGTGGCCTGAGTCCGTGGACCTGGCCGGGCAGCTCTCAGCCTGACACACCCGGGTGAATTTCTGGATGGAATCACAGAGGCGGGTCTTGGAAATCTCTGAATTTTCTAACGTCCTTGTTCTGCTGAGATATTGCCAAATCGGGAAAGTGTGGCCGCTGTGTTCCTCTTCTGGAGCGTGCTGTCACTGTCTGGGGTTACCCCAGCTCCCAGGTTCCCTGCTATGGTGGCTCTGCCTCTCCCGGAGCTCTGGGGGGTCAGAGGCTGTCCCTCGCCTGTTGATGTTTGGGCTCCACGTTTGAGGCCCCCTCACCTCATGCTCTGTCGCTTCCCTTTGTGTATCTGTTTCTTGGTGACAGGAATGGGGTCTCGGCCCTAAAATAGACCACTGAAGCTTTGGTCTCTTAGTCCCAGAAGCTCAGAAATGGGTGCATGTCAGGGTTAAGGGTCAGGAATGGGGTGGAGGTTGAGAAGGAGTCAGAGCGGAGGTCAAGAAATGGGAGGGTCTCAGGGAGGGGGCTAGGATTTGGTAGCCGATGTTCCTGAGTAAAATGAACAAACAAATTGGGTCAGCAAATAGCCGAGAAGGTCAAAGGCCCATGTTGTCAGAATGGCTATATTAAATGTCTTACTTTGGGTCTGGTTGAGTGTGGGAGGGGAATCAGTGGAAGGAGATTGCTGCCTGGTGGGAGGGGCATTTTGAGAGGAGGAAGCTGAGCGGCTCCCCCGGCAACCTCTCCCCACCTCTGAGCCCGAGGGGTGATTAGGGAATCATTGAAATGACCCTCCTTTGGCTCCCACAGCTCTGTGGATTCCTCCAGCCTGGGTCTTTTGTTGCTTGCCTTCATCTGGTCAACACAGATTTATTGAACACCTACTATGTATTGGGATCTATCCCAGGTGCTGAAGACACCACAGGAGTATGTCCCTGCCCCGCTGGAGGTCCCATGCTGGGGTGGGAGGTAGAGAGAGAGAGAAAGATAAGATAGACTGGTGCTTTGTTGGAACCTGGTAAAGGCCACTGAGAAAAATAAGACAGGGTGAGCAGACAAGGGAGGATTCCATCAAATAAATGCCTCTGAGAACCAGGATTCTGTCTGGTCATCAGCTCAACAACCCCGGCAGCCCGGCATGGGGAACGACCCCTTAGGCAGGCCTGGTGGAGGAGGTGAGTGGTGAAGGGCACCTCATCACCTGGCTCCAGAGGAATTAGAACCAGTTTTCAAGGTTATGGAATTAAGACAACAGAAAGTTGAGGATTCAGCTCAGCCTTCAAAGGCTGTGTGACCAGCAGAGACGGCAGGAAGCCAGAGCCCAGAAATGCAGGGCCATTAAAATCAAACCCATGAGGCAGGACAATGGTCTGCCCTGTTCTGAAATTATTTTATGACCTTTCCCAGATGATAAGGGGCAATTTCCAGGTGGTCAGTGTTGGGAAAAGTGTAAACGGCAGCCATACCCCAGAGAAAAACCCCAACATGGCGCCTAAGCACCTCTTCTTCCTACCTTCTTCTTTTCTGCAGTGGTGCGAGAAGTTCCTGCCCGTGTGAACTCTCCCGGCGGCGCCAATTTCAAATCTCGCTGGCGGGGAACCTTAGCCCCAATGAGAACTAATTCCTGGGCTCCGGAGCTGATATCTGAAAGAACTTGCCAATAAACGGGTGGCCTGCCATTTATCTAAGCCCTACCATCTCCCCCTTAGTTCTATATAAGCACACAGCTTTTTGCAATAAAATTGGAATTCTCCCGGCGAAGTGTCTTTGCGTGGGGAATTCTTTCAGTCAGTAGCAAGCACCATGAGTAAGACCTTCATTCGCCAAAGTAGCCTAGAGATTCATGGACTTTTTCAGCTTAATAAAAATTGCACCTTGAGTCACAGAATAATGAGCCTGCCTCCCTCCATCAGGCCTGAAGAGCTCAGGTGCAGCCCAAACCCCACTCCTTCCTGTGATGGCGTCAACAGACCCCATCGTCTCTCCTACCTGTACATGCTGTGGAAGCTGCACACTTTTGTCCCTTGTTTGAATCAGCCTGGGATTGCTGTCCCCCAAGCACTGCCTCCTTTGTGCCTGAACATTAGAGTCTTGTTCCTGTGCCATGGTGCCTCTGTCTGAATCTTCTGAGACCATAAGGACCCGCAGAGTTTCCCCCCCAGTACTGGGGACTGAACCCAGGAAGTGCTTTACCACTGAGACACATCCCCAGCCCTTTTTATTTTTTATTTTGAGACAGGGTCTGGCTAAATTGCTTAGGGCCTCGCTAAGTTGCAGAGACTGACCTCGAACTTGGCGTCCTCCTGCCTCAGCCTCTGGAGCGGCTGGGATTACAGGAGTTCACTGCCACCCCAGCTCGGGGACACTTCCTCTGTGGTTACCCAACATTTTAAACTCTCCTCTTCATGTCCTCCCTTCAAGGCGGAAGTCCCCAAACTCACAGCTCTAGTGTTTCCTGTAGCAAGCGGCCTGGCTGTGGACTAGGTCTCACCAATCAGCTTGCCTCTGGAGATGACAGTGCCAACTGGTAGCCTGGCAAGGGAATGACCTCTTAGGCAGGCCTGGTGGAGGGAGTGAGGGGTGAAGGGCACCTCATCACCTGGCTCCACAGGGAGTCCAGTCACACCTCGTCCATGGGGAACCCTGCATGTGCAACATGGTGGCCCTGTGTCTGGTCCACTGGGATGGGGTTGGGGACAATCCAGTCCAGGACAGCCTCGGGGAGCTGGAAGTTCCCCCTGCGGAGCACCGTCCTGTTCTCTGGTTGTCCCGGGGGGTTCTGCAGGTGACCTGTTAGCTCTCCTGCCTCCATCCTTCAGTGCTCTCTATTGCATATAGCCAAGAGTGGGTGGTGGAAGATTCCGGAAGGCCACACCACGGTGGGGTCAGGGAAGGTTTGTGGTTCCCAGTGATCTGCTGCTCTCCCTGCAGGAGGAGGTCACTGCTCCACCCCCCCACGGACAGCAAGCACCGTCATGTGACTTGCTTAGGCAACAGAATGTGAGCTAAAGTGAGGTCAGCTGATTCCCAGCAGAAGTTCTGAGCCTGAGAAGTTCTTGCTTCATCCATGGTTCTTCTTCAGTCACAATAACTGCCTGTCCCAGAGGGTGTTGCTCCTTCGGCCATGATCCCAGATGATGTCACATGGAAAAGACCCCCGGCCGACCTGCAGTGCACATGAAACGTGAGAGAGGAACTGATCATGTGAGCCCCAGAGATGCTGGGCTTGTTTGTTACTGCAGCAAGATCTAGCAGAAGCTGACATCGAAAAAATCATCACCGAGCCACACCCACAGCCTTTTTTTTTATCTTTCTTCTTGAGACAGGGTCTTGCTAAGTTCCTGAGGCTGGCCTCTGTGGGGTCAGCAGGCTTCCCTTCCCCTCCCCTTCCATGGCGGCTGTAGGGGGGGGGACTTTCCACCTGAACAAGGAGACCCGAAATGGCCAGGGCCAGCCTGCTGTCGGCAGCTGCAGGTTAGATGGCCAAGGCCCTCCCCCTCCAGCTTCCCTTATGAGCATGGTTTCTGCCTTTCCCGGCCGACGTCCCCGGCCCTCACCCTTTTGGGGACCGGTGACCCTTGCCCGGGAGCGTCCCCAATAAACCTTCTTTTGGGGCCTCCTCTTGTTCTGTGGTCCTGATTTCGCGCCCTTTCTGCTTTACATTTGGTGCCGAGACCCGGGAGGAGCTGAAGCCTTCCCCTTGGGGTGGAGGCTGCTCCTCTCCACCACCCGAAGGAACAGGGATCTCTAGACCACCCGCCCTCATCCGATCGGGAACGTGGGGTGAGTCCCTTTCTCTTTGATCTTTGACTCCCTCCCGATTGCGATTGCAGAGACTCCCCTCCCGACCCGGCCCCCAGTGGACTGCAGAGCCTCTCCGTCCCTGGCCAGGCCCTGGCTCTCGGGGAGCAGAGCAGGCAATTGCCGTTTCCCTCCCTGCACACCTGGGGTCGGTCGTCATGGGAAACCCAGAGTCCTCTCTGGACCCCAAAACTCCCTTGGGGAGTTTTTTTCCAAGCTGGGACTCACTGGGACTTATGCGGTAAATGGCTCCTCTTCTATCCCACAATACACTTTAGATGATGGCTCTGAATGGCCTCCCGAGGGGACTTTTGATTTTAAAGTCCTCACTGATTTGGGCCATTTCTGCCGACAGATGGAAAAGTGGCTGGAGGTTCCTTATGTTCAGGCCTCTTGGGACTCGCGCTCCCCCCTTTCTGCTCCTCTGCTCCACTTTCCAAGTCCTCCTTGCTAAAGAAACTCGTCCTCCCAAGTCCCCTCTGCTCCTGTTGTAGGGACAAACGAGGCAAGGCACCGAAGACAGCAGGACACAGTTTTATTTGGCTGCAGCCAGGTTCAGAGGGCACAGCCTTTGCTGTCGTCAATCAATCCCCTGAACCCCGAGTTCAGGGAGTTTCAGAGTTTTATACCCAGATGTAAGGGGAGGGGCTCCGAAGTTCCCAGTCTGCAGAAGTTCACATAAAGCAGCTTTTTCTCTCACTGTTCTGGGCAAGTTAACCCTTCAAGGACAACACCTGAGAAGGGGGGAGCTTCTCCTCCCCTCTCCTTCCTCCCCTGCCAGCTGTTACCATGGAGCCCAGTTGTAACTTATCTTAAAAATATAGACATCTCTGTGAAGCCCTGCTCAAGGCCAGAGGCCTTGTTTGCACATTTCTTCAAAGTACTATAGTGGATACATGTTTGTGAAAAACTAGTGAGGGGGTGTCCAGCACCTGGAGGGCTGGTATCTTCCCGGCCAGTGGCCAAGTAAACAGGGCGACAGGAAAATGGGAAGTTTATCTACACCGAACTCTTTTGCTGACGGTCCTAAAATTAGCCATGGTGAAGCAGGCTTTTCTGTGGAGAAAGGGGGTGCCACTTCACTCCTGACCCTGACCCTCTCCACTCCCTGAACCTCCCCAGACCCTCCTGCCCCACCCTCCTCCTTCTCTGGAACCGCCCCCCCCCCCAGTGAGACCACCCTCCCTCCCGGCTCCTCCCCAGTCAGTGCCCATCCCAGGTCTCTGAGGCCTCTTGACATTTCTTTACCTTTAGACCTTCTTCTCTGTTGGGCCCCGTCCTAGGTCTGGATAATGGGCTGCCCCAGATCAGTCCTGGCCCAGGGTTTCTCCGTGTAGGAGGGAGCATGATTTTTCCAGCTTATGAGCTCTGGGGTGGAGAAAGGCTGGCACACCATACTGCCTTGTCTCCCTCAGGTGTTTCCCTTCTGGACAACATGGGCAGGTCCTTAGTCCCTTGCAGGGGCATCTGGAGAGTTCTCATCTGGGTTGTGGCTCTGGTCTCGGGACAAATCTCCCACCTTCATCTTGGGAGGTGAAGAGTCTTTGGTCCTAGGAAGCCTTTGGCTCTGAGGACATCACAGAGGACGGAATATCCAGTACTGGGGCATCATTTGTTGCTGAACTTCTCTGTCCTCTCTGCCAGGTGGCAGGATCTGAGGGCATCGTCCGGGTTCATGTCCCTTTTCCCCAGAAGACCTCTCTCAAATCGAGAAACACCTAGGCTCCCTTTCCGCTGACCCACTGCCTACGGCAAAGAATCTAAGTGCCTTTCCTAAGCCTGTGGCCTTACGTGGCATATGTCCATGTCACCCTCGCCTCCACCTTACCCAGGTAGCTGCACGGGACCATGCTGACCAGGTTCATTTGACCGTTGACACCGTGCCTACAGGCGTGGCCGTGGTCCCCGACACCTATCCTGGTTGGGACTATCAAAATGGAGAAGAGGGCCGACGCCGTTGTGCCCAGATGATGCCGCGTCTGCTGGCAGGCAGGCAGGCAGTTTCTAATAAGGTTGTTAATTTTCATAAACTAACCGAAGTCACTCGGGGCCTGTGAGAGCCCCGCAATGTCCCTTAAGTGCCTAACGGAGGCCCTTTTTCTCTGTACTAGATTAGACCCTGAATCTTCCACTGAGGTGACTGTTCTGGCCACTCATTTATCACCCAGTCAGCCCCTGATATTAGAAAAAAGCTAAAGTGGGCTGAGGATGGTCCCCAAGCCTCACCCGAGATCTGGTGAAAATGGCCTTTAAAGTTTACGGTGCCCATGAGGAATCAGCCGAACTCAGCCGGCAGGCCGCTCACAGAAAAGGGTGGCCTCCAGACACAAGCCCTGGGGCAGCTCTGAGGCCACCCTGGCCCCCGGAGGGGGCTCCCAGGGGTTTGCAGAAATCTGCCCCACCCAGGGCCTGCTTCAAATGCAGACAAGAAGGCCACTGGGCCCCCCACCCAGTGCCCTAACTCGTGGTCCCCCTCTCGGCTGTGCCCCAGTGCCAAGCAGCTGGGACAACATTGGAAGAGTAACTGTCCCCTGGTTGGACCCACTCCAGAGCCTCAACATCCGGGTATGGCCGGACAGGCAGTCCCTTCTCTTGGGCTTCTGGGACTGGCTGATGACCCTCGCTGAGCCCAGGGTACCGCTCCAGGTAGCGGGTAAGGCCATCACCTTCCTGTGGACACGGGCTACCTATTCTGTCTTGCCTGTCCACTCCGGGCCTTTCTATCCCTCCCAGATCTTGGTCATGGGGACAGACGGAACATCCTGCTTCCCAAAGAAAGCAGCCACTCTGACGCACTCCCTAGAGGGACGTCCCCTTACCCAGTGCTTCTTAGTGACCCTTCCTGTCCACTTCCCCTCCTAGGACGAGGTGTTCTCAGCTCTGGGGGCCCGCCTCCAGCTCTCACCCCATGACCCTACTCCCAACTCCTCCTCCCCTTGATTCAGTCCGCTATGGACACC